GCAGGATTTCTCTGGTTTCTGCAGCTCTGGATCAGAACAATCAATCCTGTATCTGGATTTTGCTAGACACCTGCAATCTGGAGTACACAGCTGTGAGGTGTTGTTATATACTCAGGTCTGAGAATAGCTCAGGATTCCCAGTGGGGAAGACGGAAGGTCTCATTTGAAGGGGCAGAGGACCAACTTGGAAGCCAACAAACCATGGTCTCAGTTCCAGGAGTCGGGTCGGCTCCTATCAGGGTGTCAGGAGAACCCCCATCCATAGGCCAGAGGTGGGCCTTACAGCAAGGTGCTGTGTCTAAAGGCTGGAGAGCCAAGTATCCAGGAGAGATACTGCAAGTGAAACTGAGTGAGCTTATGAGCTAGGTGGCTTTTGCAGTGTAAGAATTTCTGTTCAAGTTGGAGAAGATCCCCTGTGTGGGAAATCATTTGTAAACTTTTGCTTTCTTTTAAATAAAAGTGGGTTACCAAACCCCTAAAAATAGTTCTTGTCTGCCGTGGACTCTCTAAAACAACACATCTACCATGACAGCTAACTACCCCATGTCACACAGTCTAAAGTGGTATTTAATCCAAAACCAAAAATGTAATGTATTGTAGCTTACCAATCACTAGTGTGATGTGGTGGCTGCATTCATTTCTTTTTTTAAGGCCCTTTTCCCTTTGTTTTCACCTATGATCTGGCCAGTAACACACTTCCTGTATTAGCGTGCCTACACTCTGGATGACAACTTTGGACCACAGCATTGTTAATCTGGGCAGAGAGTTGTGTTAGATGGACTAGGAGATTTAGATACCCTAACACATTGAAGCCAAAATCCAGCAAACACTTTATTAGCAGTTACAGCAACAGTTTATTTTCTTTTGGGAAAATGGTTTTACCTAAACATGTAGCACCCTCCTAGTTTAGCTAGAGGGAGCTAGAGTCCTGATTGCTCTGGGGATTTTGGAGAAAAACCCTAATGGCAGTGGTGGATCGAAGGAGTGGCTGGCTGCACTTTTTAGGGATCCTAGCCAATCCCCAACAAGTGGTTGGCAAGGGGCTGGACACCTTAAAAGTGTTGGAGCCTGCTCAGTAGCAGAAGAGTTGGGGTGGAAGATAGAAAGAAAGATGTGAGGCTAAGGGAAGGAAGGAGGCAGCCCAGTGAAATGGGCTGGACAAGAGAAAAGCTCACAGCTCTCCAGCCCTCAGAGAGGACCACCTGTATGGCAGGGAAGGAGCAGCCCAGCTGATAGGCCTGGTAGCAGCCAGCAACCCACAAGCGGTACAGGAGAGGGTCTGAATGAGTACAACTACACCCCCTGGGCAGATAGGGGAAGAAGCACTCTGGTGGGAAACCAGATTAGCTATCTACCAGTGACTGTTCATCTCTTAAAGTGACAGGAATTGGATCCCCTGTTCAGGGATATCTCCAGATTGCTGAGAGAATAGAAGTTCATCTAGGGTCTGGGGTGGTACACTAAGGAGACGCTGGCTAGCTCTTCAACAAAGGCTGTGCTGCGGGGGAGGCTTGTAAATAGTTCCAGAAAGTTGTCCTCAGTTTATCAGTTTCCCTTGGGCATTCTGCACACCCTAACCCTATCCCAGTCCAAATCCCCTAAAAAAACAAAACCAAAGCTCAAGGACTTATTTCTGACTCTGGATGCAAGCTTTTGTGAAGATGTGTGATGCCTGGCTGTGCAGGATTATAGGAGAACCCAATCCTCTAGCGACACCTAAGGGGTAGTGCTACAAATAAATAAAAGCTGATCATTGTAAACACCCCTGTCTGTGGTAATAGTTTGTCTCAACCCTCTACTGCTAAATCAGCAGGACATCTTGTTCTTTGAAAAACAGACTTACTGGCTGGATCATCATGTGAAAATAAAAGCAAGTATGCCTAAAAGAAAAAGCTAATACAGCCATCAAATCTAAGAATTAGTCAGCTGCAAAAATTAATAAGTGCATGTTTTTAGGTTTAATACCACTTTAAAAGTATAAGCTCACCTTTGAGAACAGGTTACATGTTCCCTCCTAAAACATGTAACATGTTCCCATAGCTGCAGCCACACTCGCCCCCTCTCCTCCCTCTGACAGATAATACAGGGAGAAGTTTCCCAATACTATCCGTCAGATTTGAAAACCGCGCAGCCGTGTGGGGCTCCTTAGTGGTGGGGCACTTGTAGTTTTCAATGAACTACCACAGCACTGTGGAGTGCTGTAGTAGTTTATTGAAACTTCCTCTCAGAATACCTACTTGACCATACATCTCGTACAGCAAGCAGATATACTGACAGGTCTGAAGGAGATCTGCATGGCATCAGCGATCTACACATCGCTGGTACAATGCTTTCCAGGATCCTTTGGACAAAAATATGAAATGTACATTTTGTTACCTGCAAAAAAATGTGCATTTATTATTTTTATCCAAAAGGTGAATTTATCCTTTAATGTAGTCAATCCAAAGAGGAGTACAATTTGATCAGTTGCCTTTAGTTATTGCACATTGGAAACTGATCCTAGCCTTAATTACCACTTACGGTACCTACTGCCATACATTTGTCAACAGCAAAGTGGTGCATAGGTATTTACCCAGAACCATTTTTAAATGGCATTGGATAAAGTGCTGTCAGGTAGCCTGAGTGTCCGTTCATGCCTGTGAACAATGCCATTCTCAGTCAGCTCAGTTCATGTACCCTGTGTACAGAATTGATCTGTATCTGTAAGTGGCTCGGTATCCGGGATTCACGGTTATTGGGCATAGAGAGACCAATCACAGATGCACTGTAAACAGTATGGTATTTACATCTTCAATCCCTTCCCTCTTTCAACGAAGAAAACACACAGCAAAACACAGATCATAGCAGCAGCAGATTAGAATAGTTTTAACACTTTATTTTTCCATTATATAATTTTTTTTTAAAAAACAGTAGTTATTAAATACCAAAAGAAAGCTCTGACTGAAAAAAAAAATTATATAAAAACTTAATTTGGGTAAGGCGTTGCATGGTGGTGTAATTGTCAGTCAAAGTATAACAACACTGATTACAATATTTTCATTGAACTTATGTAGAGAATGCAAATATGGATATATTAACATGTATATCATACATATAACAACATACTTGTGTATATATATCGAGAATAAAATACATTATATTAGGATAAGTACAAGGCATGGATTTAAACAACATAAATGAAAAGAGTAGATCATCATACAATGATAATAGCATATGTAGATTAAAGTGATTTATAAAAGTTATGGTTCCTAAAGAATAATTAAGTTTAGAGATTGTGCGTAGTAGTAAAGTGTAAAAATAAGAAAGGAATGAAAAATAAAAATATTACCGGGCTTAGTTGTTTTTGAAGTTTTGGGTTCAAAACTTATATTTATAGTTTATCAATTAGAGATCAAAGCAATCAATATTGAGGTTTTTAATATAATTTAACCAGGGAGAGTGGTTTTCACATAGAATGGAGGTAAATTTTTCATGGTTCATGATATACATGATTCTCTGTAAGCTATCACAACAGTGGAAACTTAAAATTGACCTGATAATGAAGGATGTTACAGGATGGTACTCAAGTAGTAAATACATTTAAGTATTCATCTTGGCTAAAGATGAGAGTATTGATCCGCACAAATCTACTTTTGTCCTGAATTGTCCTCAGACACAAAACATGGGGTAAGGCAGGCCATAGAAGGGCCGTTTTAACGGCCGAATTTTCGGCTGATAAACGAAAAATCGCTCGGGCCCGCTGCTGATGCTGCCACCAATGGCCACAAAAAACAGTTGTGGATTTTCCAGCATGACCAATAAAAATAAATGTGAAGATCCACGAAAAACAGCCGATGGGCTGGCCCCACTAACAGCGTGCACTAACAGGCATGACGTCATTCCACCGCCGGAGCCACGAGGAAGCCCGGCGGTCATCATTACTGGGGTCAGTACTGCTGCATATCTTTATTTTCACCAGATGTTTAGTATGCACACTGACCTGTTTATATGAATAAAGATTACTTTTCTGGAAATACTACACTATCTCTGGCATCTGTTTTCTGGGGCTCCCTCTTGGAGCTGTCATCCCCACAGAGAAAGCACTTTGCCATCCTGAGAGGAGGTTTTTTGTATGGAACACCTGGCTGACCTTAAGGGGACCCCTGGACCAGATTAAAAAGTCTGTGATGACCCACCGTGAGGGAGATGCCTGCTGCCTAACCTCTGATGTACCCACTGCCTGTGATGCATGATCACACATGCGCATATTCCATGCGTTTCTGGTGAGTGCGCATTTCTGTTATCTGACAGAGTGGATGTCGTGGGAATTCGTATTTCTCCAGTGAATCACTGTGGATGCTCGATTATTACTTTATTGACTTTTTCACCTTGTTAAGCGCTGCACTATGTTGTTTTAACAGCGTGCATATCGCCCAATTTTTCATGCGTATGAAAATTCGGCCGATAAACGACCCGTCTATGGCCTGCATTAAGTTTATCAGTATTCACTCACATTTTAGCTAGTTGAAATGCTTACAGGGATTGATTTATTAGAGGAAAATAGGCTGTTACCTTTGCAAGGAAAATTTAATGTGGTGAAGCTTCACTTTGAAAAGAATACTCAATCATGTTCAAGGAAAATTAAACAAACATACATTTTTTTTCTTGCCCATGCTTGGATTATAGAAATCATCCGAATTTCACCTCATTCACTAAGCTCTGGGAAAATCTTGCAAAATGCAACTTCCTATGCAAAGTGAACAGTCCATTCACCTTTAGTAAATTAGCCTAGTACATCTGCTAAAGAAAAACAGTTAAAAGTATGGGTTTGTCCAGGCAATGTGGTCAAAATAATAGCACCGGGATGAGGCAAAAACACATGCTGGGGTAGCAAAGGGTGCCAGTGATTTGCAGCATTACGTTCAGATTTTGCAAATGGCACAGCAGATATTATATTTCTGCTTCACCTGATGATGCAAAATTGGGAAAATAAAACACCGATGACTAACCTTTTTATCAAGTCAGCCACAGATGTATGTCATCAGCATGTTGATCTCATTTCTCACATATGTTTCTGGTGGGTGAATCTGATTGTGATTAAATGCAGTAGTCATGTCCCAACCATGTATAAAACCAACATTGATATCTTTAAACATGATTTCCATAATGAAATAGTGAACATATCCATGGAAATCACTCATTCCTTCATATTCTTTTTCCATATCACTTGTATTCTCCGTCTTGATGATAACTTTCGTTTCTGGGCTTCTCAGAAGCAGGCGATCAATAGCACGCCGGATATTGTACAGCCTCCTGATGAAGTGATGCACAGGAAATAGTCTGAAATGCACCCCAATGTTGAAAGCAATCACAGTGTACTGGTTTCCTCCGATTAAGTCAATTTCACGTGGGATGCTGCGCTCCTCTCTGAGGCTTGCGAATAGTAGAAACATAAATGGCCTTGAGTGATGTTTCCAAAAAACATGGATATTTCTCTCAGTATCAACACCTAAATGCTTTTGTGCCCATTGTGTTTCATAGACATTGAGAAAATGTATATCTAGAAAAAAAAAAAGATGATAGACAAGGAGATGACATAGAAGCAAAGATGGACAAAAGACTTTAAATCTGCCATTTTGCCTGATTTGACATTTTGAACAGTGATCCATACATTCATAGTTTTAAAATGGTGAACTGTAATCATAATAAAAAAATCTTTTCCTTTAAATTTCATCCTTACATATCTTACTCCTTTTGACCTTAAAGCACATCTTCAGATGAAAATGTGATACCAAAAATGAAAAATTGAATGACGGATCCTTACTGTAATTTTCCTTTCCTGACAAGCTCCATGTCAGCAAAGCTATGCCCACCCCTCCCCTTATCCACCTGCAGCCTCGGTGTTCTATAACTAGTCCAACCAAGCAGGGTGGGAATTGTGCTGACATGGAGCTCGTCGTAAAAGGAAAATTGCAGTAAGTATCTCTCATTCTAATTTTCTGTTTTCCTGACTGCTCCATGTCAGCACAGCTGGGAAACTAACTAGCCACACAGGGGAGGGATAATGCTACACACTCCTTAGTTCTGGCTAAAAGCAGAATCCAGGATGTTTCTGTCAAACTTGGCCTGCTGCCGCTCACAAAGTTGAGACCCTTCTAGTGGAGAGTGCCGTGATCCCCCTTCAACTTTCAACTTGTAGGAGATGAGCTTCACTAATCAAGAGACAATCTTGTTGGAAGCTGTGAAATCATTACACTCTTCACCTGGAATGAAAATAAAGTGCTTCGACTTCCTGATGCCAGATATCACCTTGATGTAACATTTTAAAGCTTAGCCCATCGGATGTGGGCCATCTTTTTAGGGTGCTCAAGAGGGACTTAGGAAGTACAAATTCTTGTGTGATATGGACTCTGGAGGCCACTTGAGGCACAAAGTTGAATATCGGAATGAGTACCACCCTGTCCGGAAGGAACATGAGAAGGAACAAGGCGGCCCCTGTGCGCAGGATCACGTATATAAACGTGATTCACGCTCCCATCGATTTCACGAGCCGGGGGGGCCACACGAGCACCTCCTCCAACCCACGGGTGTCACGATTTGATCCCCGAAGGATCAATCATTCGACTTCGGCCAGTGATATCCGGCCAAAGTTAGATGATCGGTCCCTGTCCTATCCTGTCCCGTGTTGACAGTTACACAGGACAGGAGATGTCAATCTTCTCTGCCTGGGCACATCCTGTCCCAGAGAGAGAAGACATACAAAAAGTGAGTAATACAGCACGTACTTACAGTTAGAACACCCTAGGTAACATTTAACCCCCTGATCGCCCCCCCAGTAAACCCATTCACTGCCCTGTCACCAGTGTCATTATTTACAGTGTACAGATTTTGTTACTGATCACTGTATTAGGGTCGCTGGTGACTTCCAATTAGCATTACCGCCCCTCCAAGATAGCGCCAGTTTGCCCGCTAGTACACCAGTAATCATATTTAACCCCTTGATCACCCCCCCATTTAACCCCTTCATTGCTCTGTCACCAGTGTCATTAGTACAGTGTACAGATTTTTTTTGCTGATCACTGTATTAGTGTCACCTGCGACTTCAGATAGCATCTGATTGCCCACTAGTACACCAGTAATCACATTTAACCCCTTGATTTCCAGGAACACGCTCACTTAAACACTAAACCTCCATTGCTAGTATAGTGTCTGAATGGATCAATATCTTTGATCAGATCAGCAATATACCAACGTTCACATTAGTATAGCATCCCCAAAAATGCAGCGTTAGCGGGATCAGCCCCGGCACCTGCGTTTAGCCCGTACATTTACCCCCCCTTCTCCCCCAGCAAGTGCAGTGTCAGTAGATCACTGTCACTTGATACATTGCACACAAAACCGCAGTGTTCACAGAATCAGGCCATATACACCCATAGCCATATACACAAACATAGCATATACACCCAACAAGGACCAGCGACTGGTACATTACTGGACTTTGAGTGGTTATACCAGGATGATGCCTGCAGGTATCGTTTTTTTTCAGCCAGCGATGAGCTTTCATGTAAAAGCAATCCTAGTGGATAATTAGCTACAGGTTTGCTTTTACAAGCAGTGGGAGAAGATGCACCCCCTCCCCCGCTGTCTTCCACGGCCTTCTTGGGCGGTCCTGTGCCATCGGTGGAAAGAAGTCAGAAGCTACGAGCATTTCATCACTTCAGTTTCGCAGGATATAAACAGCACCATTTGTAAATTGGGAAAAGCATCTGATTACACAGATCTTGGTTTGATTAGATAATGTAAGGGCAGAGAAGATATCTAGAGTCTGATAGACCCCAGATTTCTCAAAAATGAATATATGACAATGACCATTGAAGTTATAGGGTATATTTGAATTCCCTGTGATAACATTAAAAGTGATAAAAAAAATGAAAGGAACAGTGTACAAATAATTAAAATAATACAAAAAATACCCTTGTCCCCTCACGCATGCACCTGCGTGCGCAAGAGTTGACCCCGTGCCAGTATGTAAACAGTGGTTGCACCATGCATGTGAAGTATCGCCACGAACGTCAGATCAAAGGCAGTAATTCTAGCACTAGATCTCCTCTGTAAATCTAAAAATGGTAGCTTGTAAAGGCTTTTAAAGCGTTGCCTATGGATATTAACAATGTATGCAGATTGTCACCATTGCACATGGTATGTGCAGTTTTAAAGTATGTCATGTTTGGTATCTATTTACTCAACATAGCATCATCTTTTATGAGTTACCGCATAATTTGCCAATATATTGTGCTTTTGTGCATTAAAATAAAAAAAAACTATTTTTTAAAATAATTGTGTTTTAAAAAATCGCTGCACCAGTACTATGTGACATAAAACATTTCAGCACCCACCATTTTATTCTGTAGGGTGTCTGCTTAAAAAATATAAAATGTTTGAGGGTTCAAAATAATTTCCTAGCAAAAATACTGATTTTTTTTCATTTGAACAAAGTGTCAGAAAAGGCTTGGTCTTCAGGTGGTTAGAAGAGTGAGTGATGTGTGGCATAAACTTCTAATGCTGATCATAATCTAATGCTGATCATAAAATACTCCCACCCCCCAAAATGACCCTTTTTTGTAAAGTAGACACCTGAAGCTATTTGCTGAGAGGCATGTTGCGTCAATAGAAGACTTTAGTTTTTGGAAAATGACAATTTTTTATTTATTTACACAAAATTGTCACTTAAATAATTTATTGCTCACACATTCCATGGGTATATGTGGAATTACTCCCTAAAATACATTCTGCCACTTCTCCTGAGTATGGGGGTACCAGATGTAAGAGACTGACAGTCTAGCCAAGTACAGGACCCCAAAATCCAATAAGCACCTCCAGGCTTTTAAAGGGCTTTATTTCCTTATAACTTTTTCTGACTACATATTACAGTTTCGGAGGCCCTGAAATACCAGGATAGCACCAGATCCCCCCAAATGACCCCTTTTTGGAAAGTAGACACCCCAAGGAATTTGATAAGCAGCCTTGTGATTATTTTTCAGATCTCATTTGTTACAAGTTTTTTTAAAATGAAGAAAGAAAAACATATTTATTTTCTTTTTTTATATTTTGAAACCTTGTGAGAAAAAATGAGATCTGCAAAATAATCAACATGTCTCTTTTTAAATTCCTTGGGGTGTCTTTCCAAAAAGGGGTCATTTTGGGGGGTTTGGTGCTATCCTGGCATTTCAGGGCCTCCGAAACTGTGATAGGTAGTGAGAAAGTGAAATGAGGAAGTTACACACCTTCAGGCTTTCAAAGTGGTCATTGGATTTCAGGCTCCTGTATGTGGCTAGGCTCCCAAAAAGTCTCACACATGTGGTATCCCCATACTCAGTAGAAGTAGCAGAATGTATTTTGGGATGTAATTCCACATCTCCATGGCTTGTGCGAGCAATATATCATTAAGTAACAACTTTGTGTAAAAAAAAAAATGGTTCGTCATTTTACAAAAACGTGTGGAAAAAAAAAAAATCTTCTATGGACTCAATATGCCTCTCAGTAGATAGCTTAGGGTGTCTACTTTCCAAAAAGGGGTCATATGGGGGTGTTTGTACTGTCCTGGTATTTTATCACCTCAAGAAATATGATGGACAGTCAGAAAGTAAAAGCTGTGTAAATTCCATTATCTATACCATAGTTTGTAGACGCTATAACTTTCACACAAAGCAATCAACATACACTTATTGGCATTTATTTTACCAAAGACATGTATCAGAATACATGTCCTAAATTTATGACTGAGTTTACTATATATTTTTTATAGCAAAAAGTAAAAAAAAAAAAATTTTTTTTTACTTTTTTTTTTCCAAAAATTTTGGTCTTTTTTTGTTTATAGCGCCAAAAATAAAAAGCACACAGGTGATCAAATACCACCAAAATAAAGCTCTATTTGTGTGAAAAAAAGGACATAAATTTTGTTTGGGTACATCATTGCATGACTGCGCAATTACCAGTTGAAATAGTGCAGCGCCGATTAGCAAGAAAAGGCCTGGTCATTAAGGGGGTAAGTCATCTGGAGGGCAAGTGGTTAAAATAACATGCCTGGGTGATTGCCTTAAAAGCTGTCCCACTAAAAGTCGCTGATCTCCGCCATTACTAGTAGAAAAAAGAAATCTCATTATCTATACCACCATTTGTAAACGCTATAACTTTCACATAAACCAATTAATTTACATGCATTGGGATTTTATTTTTTAGCAAAGACATGGAGCAGAATACATTTTGGCCCAAATTTAACGACGTTTTATGTGAAATATTTTTACTGGCCATGTTTAATAGCAAAAAGTCCAAAAAAGTTTTTCTCAAAATGGTCAGCCTTTTTTTGCTTATAGCGCAAAAAATAAAAACCGATCAAATACCACAGAAAGAACGCTCAATTTGTGGGGGGAAAAAAAGGATGTAAATTTCATTTGGGTGCAGAGTTGCATGACCATACAATTGTCAGAGTAACACAGCTCCGTAACGCAAACAAATGGCCTGGTCATGAAGGGGGGTAAATCTGCAGGAGGGCAAGTGGTT